GGGGGTGGGGGTTGTTTATATATACATATAAACACACAAACATGCATATAAAAAATGCATAGAAGATGCAGCTGGAAGAAGGCACGAGGAATAATCCATCTATTCCCATCTCAAGGAAGAATCAGCCATTCCTGACAGAGCTTTGGTTCTGTCTCAGAATTTCCTCTGCTGGAGCATCCACAGATTCCTCTAGCAAACAAATCTCACGCTACACTATACTTACTGTTATCAAGGTTTTCTTGGTGTCTAGCTAAAGCCTCACTCGGTTAGTTTAAACCCATTACAACTCATTCTGCCCCCTCCCCCCCCAGCAAACACAACAGGTTATGGCGACCTCGTCTAATCCCCTATCTCCTCTACTCTAACGAGCTCCAGCTCTTTCCATCTCCTGTGTCAGATACACTGCAATTTTATCCGAGCAGATGGAATAACATTTGTTTCTCGCTGGACTTCCACTGGAACTCTGCTAAAGAAAACCATTAAGAGCACACAGTGAACTAACACGCTCTGGACAACCCTACGTGCTGCATCCTTTCTTAAACCAATGCCGCCTACCCGAGGCAGTGCTACCCCATCACTAGTGGTGCTGCTGTGACCACGTTTCATAGAATCATTTAGGTTGGAAAAGACCTTGAAGATCATCGAGTCCAACCGTTAACCTAGCACTGCCAAGTCCACCACAAACCATGTCCCTAAGCGCCACATCTACACGGCTTTTAAATACCTCCAGGGATGGCAACTCCACCATCACCGTTGTACCCATCAGAGCACCGACATCAGGGGGTTAAACTTAAACTTTGGATTTCATAAGCTAATACCTTTGCCAAAGAAGTCTACTTTTAATGAAAAGTATGCTTTCAATTAAAGAATACAGGAATTACTGATATTTCATGGTTAATTAATGTAATGAATTTAATGCAATCAGTAATAAACAATAAGCCTTTAAACGATCTTGAAAACAGGATTTATCATTACAGTATAATGACAGAGAAACAGTCCTAGACATGTCTACTGTATGAACCACACCTCCTGGTTGTTATAAACTAGGCTTTTCTTATGGTCTGTTGTTGTTTATCATCTCCCTGTTGTATTACCTCCCAGTAATGCGTGCTGTCAAGCTCACTACTTAATTAGTTCATTTACACTGTTGCTAAATTGATGCATAATCTTCCTATTAAATATATGCCAAAAGTGGGCACAAAGGGAAGTGCAGAGCCACATCTAATTTTCCCAGGTGATTTTATACCTATATCTGTATTTAAATCACGCTTGCTTCTGGTTACATCACTGGCTAAATTTATAACGTGGACTTTAGGCCAGAAGGCTGCTCTAAAACATACAAACTTCAGAGGTCGACTTTTGGTTCTGATCTGAGTTTGTTAAATCAGACAGAAACGTTTAGCAAAGCATCATATAAGTTTGTATGCTTCAGACAACTCATTTCCCCAAGCCAGCACAAACATTCCACTTTTTGAATACTTCTCCCCTGATCCTTGAAGAGGTGCTCCTGTTAGGAGCTCCACAAAGTCATCTGCACGATGGCCTTCAAACATCTTTATTCAAATCTTCCAAAAATACGTAGTTCTGATATGATAAGTAGCATTTTGTTTGATACAGAAAGTGTTGATAAAGTGTCAGTCTTCACGGTAGAAAGCAGGAGTTGGTACAACACGAGCTGAGGAGTTGGGCTACTACAAGTTGAGCACTCTTGGTGGCCAGAGGTAGGCACATGAAAGGCGTCATTGATCCAAAACTCACACAGAAGTGTGATTCAGGTGGTGCGTGACCTGTGTTACAGCACTTGCAAACTTCAGATTTAAATACATCGATGACTCATAACTCCATCCAAAAAATACACAAGTCCTGGGTTGACATTATCTACACACTGAAAGTCGGCATCAGAAGCCACCTTAGCCTCCAGCTTCCCCACTTCCAGAACTGAGCACACACACACAAAAAACTACTTCAGGCTTTTAAGAGGTTACTTCTGTGTACCTCACCACCCACTGAAAGTCGGCATCAGAAGCCACCTTAGCCTCCAGCTTCCCCACTTCCAGAACTGAGCACACACACAAAGAAAACTACAGGCTTTTAAGAGGTTACTTCTGTGTATCTCACCACCACACACATGTACAAAACGTTTTAGGATCATCTAGAGAACTTGCATCAGCAGCAGAAACTTCTGCTCTCTCACCATGCCTCCTCCAGCATGCTAACCCACGCTAACCCTTAAGGGATTATCTCCCAGATTAAGAAAGTTGAATATCCAGGACTATTTCTATTTTTAGCTGCTGCTGTGCAGAAATGATCTGCGGCACAACATTCAGACGATTACCTGAGTCATTTTTTCACGGTTGGCCTTGGGATTCAAGGGGGCCTCGGTCAGCAGGACGGGGTGTTCCTCCGGCGCAACCCGGAGTTCGTTGTAGAAAGAATGATGCCAAATCTAAAAATGAAAATCGCTTTAGAAAAGTGTTCTGATAATCATTTCTTCTGTCCACGGAACTACACAGAAAGCTTTTCAAATACAGCCTGAGCGATTACGTTTTTTACAAACATATTAAAATAGATCGAAAGCGTGCAGGAGCTCATCTGCCAAAGTCAACGCTTTTAAAATCAAAACCATTGGGTTTCTACTGTACGTAACAACAGAATATAACCTCCATAACTGAGTCCTTCCAGTTCGGATTCCCTAAATGAGGCACAGCTCACCCTCTCGAAGCCGGGGCAGCAGTGAGCTCCCCCCCGCCCCACAGAGCTGATGTGGAAGCTGAGCCAAGCACTGAACTCTTGGACCTGGAAAGACTTCTCCACTTCACGCCGCTCAGAGACCGATCCGGTTGCAAGTCATTACCAAGAACGTCTTTAGAAATCTAATTATTTCCAGAGAAGCAAAAGGCCCTTTATGCCCCAGGTATTTCATCCAGTAAATCCTGAATCAAACTCACACTTACTATAGAGTAATTAAATTTCTTAGACACAGTCTGTAAAGTACTGTCGTATTTTTTCACATTCGAAGGTGCTACCTGCATCAAACGATGCTGGCTTTGATTGTCTGAGGACTACAGCTGCGAGGGATTTTTTGTCTTGATGCCAGCACAAAGACAGACTGTTCAGTAACACGATGAAATATTTCGTATCTTCTCATTTAACTCTTTCCTACCCTTAGTTGGTTTGGGTTTTTTTTTCCTTCTTTTAGCTCAGCTTTACCTGACCCAACAAGCTTATTTCTGAGCACAAAACATCAGAATAGTTTTATGGGTGAGTTTACTTGATTAATATCCTAGAAACAAGTAGTATTATGCTCCAAAATGAACTTAAGTGGAAAAAAGATCTCCTCTGTATTTGAAGCACCTACAAAGTCAATAGCTGTCCAGAGCTGGAATTATTCATTAATAAAATTATCAGCCCTAAAAAAAATTAAAAAATTCAATTCCATCTCAGTCCCCTAAAGAAAAAAAAAATAAAATTAATAATAATCAGATGTTTCCAGAACTGGGGCTTGGGATGCCAGGCCATCTTCTATTTGAAGGTTTTGAATACTAATACAGGGAGAAGTTGAATAAAGCAGAAAGTAATCATGTAAAAGTTTTAAAATATATATATATATACACACACACACACACACACACACACATATATAAAAATCAGATAGAAGAAGAAAAAAACCTGCCATTTCAGACAGGAAAGAGCTAAGGGAAGAGACAGAAACCTCAGTGCTTACAGAATTAACAAAGTACTGGCAATTTCAGCAGCTGGGAACAAACCTGGACTTAAAGCAGGACCCTGCCTAAACCTCGGGCAGTTTGGAGGTTTTCCCTCAAAACCAGGCAGGGTTAGGCCCTGTACAGCCAATTAAATTCACCCTAATGATAACCGTAACGTTAATGGATCTTCTACAAGAAACAAAAAATAGTTCAGCGTTGGATTTTATAGGTCATAAGAATTAAATGTAAGCAGCAGGCACAATAGCAAAGAGAAGTTAGCGAGGCAGAATTATTCCAACACTTAGATTAAACATTTACGCAGTCATCAGAGCCAGAAAACGCTCCGTCCCAACGCTTTGCCTCCCGTACGTTGTCAGCTCAGTTGCTGTGACCAAATTAACAGTGATGTACAATGCCCTGTACTATTATCCAGCGGAAAACAGAGCAGTCCCAATTTGAATATTGTGAATCGAAGCACGGGAGAAGAAGAATGCTTCGTTTCATCGCCTACGTGTTCTCCTCCCGATTCACACGAGTGTCTGCGCATCCTGCGGCATCCTCGCTCTCGCTTTCTCTCGCTCCCGGCCTAATCTTTTGGTGACACACACCCCACCCCACCCCCCCTTTTTGTAACCTCTGGGTGGCTGGGCACTGCACAATTACGCCTTTGACCCATTTTTGGCACTTTACCCAGAAATTCTCTTGTTTCTTTTACATCATGATGCTTTTAGTAGGATGATTTCCAAGCTCTGGAAAGGAATTTTTGATTCGGATCAAAATTATTCAAATGCTTTAAAAATCTTGGGGGGGGGCGGAATATATATACAAATATATACAAAATACATATACAAAAGATACTCCCTTAGCATCAAAACTTTAGGAATTGCATTTCAGAACTTCTCTCAGCCAGAAGAGCGTGTGCACGTGTGTGTGCACGTGTGTGCGTGTTGCAGAGCTTCAGGGGAAGCTGAGACACGGGACTGAATCAGGGATGTCTGCATATAAAAGCAAAATACGCTTTGTTTCTTATCTGCAGTAATCACAAATGTTAGCAGCGCTGTTTCTTGTCTCTTCCCTACCGCCGCCTCTCTCTTCTTTTTGTTGCTCATTGACTGGAAAGCAGCCTCCGCTTGCCATCCCACTCCGCTCCGGGGCTCAACAAGAACTCCAAGCACAGCTCAGGGCTGGGGCGGCTTTGCCGGCTGTTGCACGCTGCAAGCGGTCTGTCAGCAGACGGGAAGTTTGGGCTAGGAACCCACTTTTTCACAAGTGATTCCTTCATCCGTTTGAGTGATACCCATACAGTATCTCCCCATTCTTTGAATTCCAGCACTGCCTGAAGACTCCACCACATCGCACCCTACAACCCCCCTCAATCCAGCCACGAGTTTACACCGCAGTAAAGCACAGGCCACCTTTATCTCCTCTGATTCCTCTTCCTAACTAGATTTTAGATAGTCTGCTCTAGCATCCAGCATTACCCGGAGGAAGAACACGTCCTGTGTATAACACACAGTGGTATAATTTCAGATGCAGAGATCCATTGCTGAGGGAAGAACATAAAACAGTGACCTCCGATTTTTATTTATTCTTTTTTCCCCTACAAGGAAATGCAATTTCTTGCTGAATACAGACAACGGGAGAATTATCAGGAAGAAGAAGATAACTGGATGTATGAGGCAGACTTTCTACTCTGCAGAAAGAAGCAAGGTGCCCTCCCAGGAAGCAGTAAAATAATGAAATGCAAATACTATACTTCCATCTAGAGGAGCAGGTGGGCAATTTATTTCCAAATATGAATTGAGGAACTTCTGTTGCTCCTGTATCGACTTTGGTCTCTTCATCTGGAACACCCTGCACTTATCGATTTGGGTTCACGAACGTGACACAATAACTGACTTTAGATATACACATGATAATTGTATACGCTTTGCGTGAATACAGAACACCGCCAGCCCCGTGTCTTCCTTTCAGTGATATCGGCCACAGAAGAACATTACTAGAAGCATTTTCTCGTGGAGTTTCCTTCCCACCCCATTCCACCTGGAGACAACAAAGGACAGAATTGCAATCCTGTCTCTAAAGACAACATACAATATCTCCACATACAGACTCAGATGCTTCCTGAAGAGAGCAAGACATGAGAGATATCCGAGTGACAGCGCCCTTAGGACTCCTCCTGCCTCTCCAGCCTCTGCCAGGAGCCCACCTCATCGCCCACGCCTGGTCTGGGACATCCTTAAGCGGGCATTTCACAGAGAGGCTGTTGCATCGGCCGCATGCCAAGGAAGTCGTGCTTGTTAGGGAATAAAGACGCCTTCTCGCCATCCAGGCATTAAAAACTAACCGGAATTGGCAACAGAAAAACATGCTTCAGGAAAAAAAAAAAAATTAAAATCCCACTCTCAAAGAATTAGTGTAGGGACAGGAAGCCCCAATCTGTCTTTTCCTCTTTAATTGACAGTGAGAACGTCATACGCAATACAAGATGTGGGCATCACTCATCATCTTGCTCATGTAGGCAAGTACTGAGGAGGGAAAAAATCATCCCTCCACCTCACAGTTTTTGTTCCCAGCTTCAGTAAAGTATCTTTAGTGTTTCTCCCATTCACCTCTGATAAATCACAACCTGTTGTTTTGTGGGTTGTTTTGTTTTGTTTTTTTTTTTACTTTAGCTACTTTCTAGCGTTGTCAAATGTTCTGCCTCAGGATGAGCTTCAAGACTGAAAAGAGTCTGTATAAAGCATAAAATACTTCTATAACATACTGCCAAATCTGATTTACTTTTTAAAAGAATAGTCACTCTAGAAGGGCCAAGACCTGATCGGCTCCCGCAGTAGCATACTGCGCTATCCCTTCACCTATACTGCGATTACAAATTTTTCCAGGATTTTCCCTTTGGCTTGTAAGAAGGTCAATGGCAATGTGCACGTCTTGGATAAGATGATGCCTCAACAAAATTTCATTAAAAATAAACACCCACCTTTTCCATGTCATCCCAGTTAGTGATGATTCCATGCTCAATGGGATACTTCAGCGTCAGGATCCCTCTCTTACTTTGCGCTTCATCACCTACATAGCTGTCTTTTTGACCCATTCCAACCATAACACCCTGCAAAGTATATTATTCTAATATTAATGCAGTATATCACGCACATTAGAGGTGGGATATAATTTTTAAGTTAAAACTTCATGGGAAATACCGTACCTGCTACTAGTCTTCCAGAACATAGCCCCAAAGCGTGCAAGGAACTAAAAAGTGAATTTATCAGTAACCACCTACTCTGTACTAACTCCCTCTGTAAATCCACCAGGAAGAGCAAGGCAGGTTCAACAACGAAGGAAGGTATCTCACACTTGGTGCAACTAATGCCCATGCAGGAGCCCAGCCAAGGCAGGCATCAGCAAACTCATGGTTCTCCACACGGGATGGATCCTTTGCCATTGCACAAAGGAGTAAAGGGAAGGAATTATAGGTGAAAAAGATACAATCTCTTTTTGACTCCCTAGATTTAATTTATATATTCAATTGCCCTTTGTGTCTAGGCAGTTTCACTGTTGCCTTTAAGCAGTGACATTATTCCCCCTTGCTGGAAGAGAAATGGTTTTGAAAAATATACATTTGGGAAAAAATGCATTAATTTATATACATAAAAAAAGACATATTTTCTAAAAGAAAAGTCACTTATTAAATAATGGTTTTACTAAGTTTATCACGGTTGCATTAGGAAGCCTATCATGATTGCCCCAAATAATATAACAACATACAAGGTACGATATTATTCATCAACTGGTATGAAAATATTTATTTTTGCTCATGGATACATTTTAATTCCATGGATTCAATAATAAAACTGCTGAGCTGCTTAACTGTGCAAAATTACATGTCATCTCTAATCACCAATAAAAGCCAATGAACAATTGGAGATGTTAAAGAACGGACATATTTTCAACCACTGATATTCAACTTCAACAATTCATGGAGGTGTTCAAAATTGCATTCTTTAAATTGCTTAGTATTTTACGCCTGTCAAACCAGGCTTATTTAGCTCAGAAAAAGAACACAAAGAACTTCAGGGAAGAGTTTTTAACAGCCCAAAAAATGAAAATCTGACTCAAATATGAATAAAATGAACAAAAATCTGCACCTTGTATTTATAAAGGTACTGTTAAAAAACTAATTAAGCAGAAAGACACTTTCTAAGGTCAAGAAAAGCCACATTTATCCTTTCCAGTATTGTTTGAGTCGATAAAGTGATGTGCTAGAGAGGTTTTTTGGAATTTATTGGGCCATACTGTTGCTTGATGGAACAAGAAAAGGAACTTATCACTATTATTAATTTGCTTTCTCATGTCAGCAATGTTCTACCTATCTTTTTTCTTTGTATTGATAGAGCAAGTATGAGTTAATCCAACAAGTTGGGGTTTTTTTTCCCATAAGGCACCTTCATATTAGTAAAACACTCATGTTTTTCTATAGTCAACTTTTTAAGGCTGAAGAACCTGTGTTCCAAAGGATCAAGAAGTTTACCTTAAAGACATGCAGCTCGATCCTCAGCGAACAAGCCAAACTCCTACAAAGGCCAATGCTTTTGCCTGATAAATCTGATGCGCTCTCACTGCCATGTCTAAACTCCCAAAAAACAACCCCAAAACCAACCAGACAGCACTTCCATTTTTGGTACCAACTGACCTGATGTCGAGGACGGCCAACGATGGATGGAAATACAGCTCTCGGGGCATCATCTCCTGCAAACCCAGCTTTGCAAAGCCCAGAACCATTGTCACATACAAGGGCAGTGGTTTCATCGTCATCGCACATAGTGCCTCACAATTTTGGCTGCAAAACAGTAATTGGGGAGGAGCACATGGAAGGGAATAGGACAGAAACAACTCTCCATCATTTACAGACCAAACTGCTGTAAAAAAGAATCATTTTGGCAAAGAATAAATCTAAACAGCAAAGTCTATGCTAACGCCCTGATCTTGTAAAGCCTGTTAAGTATCCACATAAATTTCAGCTTGAATAGGTTTTACCGAAGCAAATTAATCAGGACGTTCAGCCTTTGTGCCCAAAAGGGACATCTCCTCTGCTGTACCCTCAAGGAGTCCTGTGATATTCTATTAATTGGCCTTGCGACCATGGAACAAGTTCAGCTAGCGCATAGATGTTCGGCTCTACTTGGACTTAAGCAAACATAACCCCATCTCTTCCAAGGCTGAATTTTCTTCTAGAAATGTCATTTGTTAAAAATGAATTGACCATACACACCTACTAGTTATAATGTCAGTACTTAGATGGTAAATGAGAACATTCATTACTTCAAAGACCACCGGTATTCCCTAGTGGCACGTTTAATTTTGCCTTTTTCTTAGAGGGACATCATCCATCTTAACCAACCAACTAAAAATAACCCCCACAAAAAGTTTCAGGAAAGCGTTTGCTGTGTGTTTTTAAATGACAGCTCCTCTGTAACGTGAAGTGCTCCCTACAGGACCTATTCCATATTTGTAAGTGGTAAATACCTTATCCAAGTGGTTATTCTGGGAAACAGAACAAGGGGCAGCTGGCACAACCGCCCAGGAACAACTCAACTTCAGCGGTTGGCCAACACATCAGACGAAGTCCTGAACTCCTTGAAATTCATGGCAAAACTCCCGCCGAGGGAGGGCCTGAATTTCACCAAGACTCCTGTTTCAGATTCCTCGGTTATTTTTAGGACTGTACGATTGCCTCTTTAGGCAGTCAAGGAGAGGGACGGATTTTTCATTCTCTGGCAGCTTCACCTGGTAAGGAAGGGTACTTCAGAAATGGGAAAGGAATGAAAAACACCACTTGTCCGGCGAAGGCCTCTCCCTAACAACGCAAAAATGTATTAAGCACCCTTTTCGCAATCAATGCAAAAAAGTACTTGATTTCTGATGTGTGCAGGCAGGCCAGGAGCGGCGGCACAACAGCACTAGGGTCTGCCCTGCGACCAACTCATGCTGTCCTATTTGGGGAGTTTAAAATATCTCGTGCTCTTCAGAAGACCCCTGCAAGAATACCAAAGTCCCGGGAGACTTACAAACAGTTTTGATTTTTAAAGTTTGAGCTGCATGAAGTTCCTGGTGTTCAATCCTCTCCCGTAGGCTTTACAAAGCAAGGCTGTGACATGACTGATCCCAACGCTTGTAGGTGAAATGGAAGCAGAATTCAAAAATATGACATTATTTTAATAAGAAAAATCATTTTAACACTTGTTGATGTGCCAGTGACCGGAAGATTCTTTTTTCACATAAGGAAGCAGAATAATTTTATCACACAAATTCGTTAACAACTTTAATATAGGAATGTTTAACCATTAGTTCTAGTAGCTGGTATTTTGGAACATTCATTCATGTTGCCATGAATCATTATTTTTGTCTAAAACCCTCAGGAAAAGGCTTTTCAAATGCAATAAACCGTTTACCAGCACTATCCAACACTACATAACTGCACCCAGACTCTGACCCCATCAATGTAAAAAAGAAGGAAATTCAGTTCTTAAATACATCAGAAACAACATCAGATGCAATACCAGAATTCAGGAATAGAGAATTTTAAAGTAGAGAAATGCTAATAAGCTCTGAGAGCTCCTATCCATGGCACTAAAGCTGGATAGGACCAAGATATTGAATCCTCCATGGTGAGAAGTAACATTCCCATTCATTCACATAGACAGCATTGCAGAGATGGCTTTACATGCAAACCCAAGGGCAGCACAGCCACGCTCGGAGAAACAAAATCCACAGGGAAACCCCAGCTGAGCTGTACAAGTTACACTTTGGAGAGCTGGCAGCAATTGTTTACATTTTCACTCAAAAGTGATTATATTCCAAAGCCACTTACATTTCCTAATAAAATCAATGGCTGAATTTGTTAATTTCCCTTTTTTTAATTATCTTATCATTACTTAATTACAAGGTGAATGGACTAATAAAGAGCACTACTTCAAATTTGCATTGATTGAGACATATTACTGCTTTACAGCTGCTGAATTTATAGGTTTAATACTCATTTTCACAAAGCAGCTCTTTGGAAATCTTGTCAGCAGATGACGTTTCTAAATAAATTTCCTGTATTTGCTTTAATTTTTTACTTTCAATTTTTCTAATTCCCAGGACAAAATTAAATACAGTTAACAGAGAACTACTTTTTTTGGTTTCTGCATAAGGCCTGATGTCCAGACATCAAACACTACTGAAGTTCTTCCAGGTTTTGGACAGACCAAGGTGGTTTCATCGCACTCTACTGATCCTTCCAGCAATGAAATACATCTGCAGGTTTCCCTGCAACCACACAGTCAAACCTGAATTACCTTACACCAGGAGACCCTTTGGAATTCTTTCAAAGCTCGAGGCAAAGCATCCAAGTCCAGCAAGTGTGCAAGTCCCCGAAAGATCTCAAACCAAGTGAAGCGAAGCATTAGAATCATGAACTGTAACACGAAAAAAAACTCTCAGGGCAATACTTACCCAGGAAATGGTGATGATTTGTAAAAGCCTCTTTGTAAATGCCATGATCTCACCTTCCATTACATTTATATCAGCTTCTGGAATGGAGTTCGCACAATATCTACATGTTGTCAAGCCATTTTTGGAAACTTTTTTTTCCGTTTGTGCTTATCACAGTGACAGCGCAAAGGCCTGGATAAATTAGGGCAGAATTTCTAACACCTCTGGATCCTTTCCCACTTGCTAACTTGCTATGCCTCATGACAGAGGGTTGTTTGCTCCCCTCAAGACAGAAATCCCTCACACAGATGAGTAAGACTGGAAGGATTTGTAGGTCCACTGTTGGCATTAGAAAGCATTCCGCTTCATTAGAACACAATCAGCTAAGAATAGCTCATTATCATTCTGTTAACAGCCATCTTCAAGCTGGAAAGCTGAAAGCCTCACCATGTCCAGTACTCACGTTTCAACTGTACTTGTTTGTTCGCGTGGCGCAAAGACTGAAAATAGCTGACTTATCTCAGTGCTTGGGTGATGCGACGGCTGAAAACGGGGACTGAATCAGCAATCGGCCATTCAAAAGAAAGGAGCCATTACCATTTTACAAAAAAGAGATATCAATTATATTGGAATATATGGGGTTTATATAGAAATCCAGACCTTGACTGGACTAAGAAATATTAAAGAACCAAGAAAAGAAGAATGTTTACAGGATTTACCTGCAGTGATAACCATGGCTGTCAATATTTCCCATTCCGCGTGACACACGCAAGCGATGCAGAATATTAGATACAATTTGGTAAACATTAACTCTGCAAACATAAACACCAACCAATTCCTCTTTCTTACCTGTCGCGCGACTGCGATGCAGACGTCGCATACAAGAATCCTTGGACCTTAAGGAGATAATTCACTAACGTCTCTTCAGTCAGCCTTGTACCTGCCCATCAGTAAAACTGATGGAATCCTTTCATTTCCATACTCATTAGGTTTTTCTTTTCCCACACGATTTTTAGGATTTGAGTGTAGCCAACAGGAAATCAAAAGGCTACTCCTTTTTTGTGACTTTATGTCTACTCCTTTAGACTCGGCTTCTGTCTCCATTTTACACAATGTGAGCGGAAACACAGACAGAACGAACACCAACAAACAACAATACAGGGTGTAAAAACAACCTTTGAGCTTCCAGTGGCCACAGTCTTCACAAATAAGCTATTTTTTGAATCAGAGAAAGAGTTGTGCAGTTTCAGAGAAAATTTTAACAAAACACAGATGTATTAATATGCAACGCATAACACTATTACATGTCTACGGAAACTGAATGCAAGTCCTCTGCTTCTTACAGCCTCTTAGTTGAAAATGTACCCTTTATTCATTTGTACCTTGAAGCCCAAGTATGTAAAACATGTAAGGTTGTCTTTACAAGCTTTAATTCCACGTGTTGAGCAGCTGAGTAACATTTTGCCCCAAAGATATACAGCAACTAAACCCACCAAGACAAGAAGTGCAAGTGAATTAAAAAAAACCAAACCAAACCAAACCAATCAAAAAAACCCCAACCCACCACCATGAGAAAAGCTACAGAAATTGCACCTTTAAACAACAGTAAAGGAACATAAGAAGTTGAAGACATTTCTTCATGTCATCTCAATTCTAAATCTTTAATCATTGGCTTACCTCATTACCATATATATATATACACACCTCTGAGCACCTTGTCAGAGCCATTACAAACTGTATGGCCAAAGAACAACCTTCTTAAATCTTTTATTTTCAGCCAAAAAAAAAAAAATCAAAAAAAATCAAAAATCCAGTAGTTCTTCCTTTATTGCACTCTATAAAACTTCTTGTTATAATCAAGAAGCCAATAACAGTAATATTCCTTTAAAATTTATAGTTTAACTCTTAAAATAAAATTTATATAGAAAAGATATCATTTACAACCCATTCAGTAGTAATCAATCATTATGTACTCGCAAACAATATTAAATAACTTGTGTGCAGCAGTTTCTTTATAGGGCAAACAGAGGGGAATATTTTCTCCTTAGCAAATATAATATTCCACTGTTAAAGAGCAATTCAAGTCAACTTTGGAGCAACTGTGATATACATAAATCTCTTTTAAGAAGCGTAAGATTCATGTAGTGTAACAAGAAAATATACAACTGTGTCCAGTGCATAGCTTAACAGCAGCATGTGAAAAGTCTATTATCTTGAATTGGCACACCGTTACCTAAAGGGAAATAATTTACCCAGAAAATGCAGTGTACTCAGAGAACACCAGTGAGGCACAGTAAAACAACCAGATGTAGTGTAACTAGGTACGTGAGGAATAAATAGCGGGATTTTGCTCTGGAGGTCAGCAGCTTAGAACAGTAAAGACTTCGCCCTCGAAGCCATCTTCTGAAGGAAAGGGCTCCTCCTTTCATCTGGTTAAGAAACAAAAAACATCAAATAAGTAACCATGAATACAGACAAGAAGTTCCACTGTTACTTAGATTTCTGAGGCGCTATAAACCTTTTGCCTCTCATGCAGGAATGGCTGCCACAGCACAGGCTCTAAGCATAAATAATTTAAAGGCCAAAGAAAACAGCATTAATAAAAGGGGAGAAGAATGAATGCAAAATATTTATGTATTATGTAATTACATATATATACTAGAGATGAAAATGCATAATTAGATGCATATACATTTTCTTGAATGGCCACATGTGTAATATAAATACAACTAGTCACATTTTCATTTGGGCATATGTAACCTGTTCTATGACATGGTTTACACAGATGCCTGTATTTGACTCACCATCCACAACCCAAACAGAAAGAAATTAAGGACATTTTTTCAGTCAAATGTAGTTTCAGCAGTAGCCTGCTACTCCGAACGGATGCCTCTATGGCCCACCCATCCCCATGACAAAGAAAAAAGCACTTCTATCGAAGAGTCCTTCACAGTCGGCTTTTCAGAGACAAAGCAGATGAGACAAGTAGCTGCTTTGTGCCAGTGTTCACATATAAAGAGCACAACACAAAACCAGTGACGCCCAGTCACTCAGAAGGGAAATCCGCACTCCAAGAATTAATGACAGTTGAAAGAAAGGTATAGCAGAGGAAAGCCAGGAAAAAGAAAGGAGTAGTGTGAAAGAGATAATGAGCTGTGTCATCTTCAACTCGGTCCACAGCTAGCAGTATACAATATGCATGCCACTTTTAAGTAGCTTGTAATTCAGGGGTTTTAAAGCTTTCATTTCCTTACCTTTCGCACAATAACATGTTCACTGGGATTGATGATTAAGGCTTCCCTTTCCTCCTCAGTTTCCATCTGAACAGCGTAGTCACTAGGTACAGACCTGTAACTGCTTACTTCAAATCTAGAGAAAAAATAAAAGGGAGATAATGGAGTACTGCATTATCTGCTCTTTTACAGTACCAAATTCACATAAGAAACATTATTTTATATACTTACATTACTGGGGGAAGGCACCCACAAAAAGCAGTAAGACTCAGTTTATGTTGCCAGGTCTTTTTCAGTCTCTATTTACAACCTACTCTCAAGGTGCTTCATTTGTTCAGAATAACCCCCATCACCCCTAGCTGATGGAACAGTGATTTTCAGATGATGGTAGTGATGGATGCTTTATGTAGGCAGATGGATAACAATATTTTAAATCTAAACAAGTGGATGTACTGAAGCTGTTATATGTGAGATTTTTTTCGAACTTGGAAAAAAAGAAATACCACTACTGAGTCCAACATCTGAAGCAAGAAATTAAATAAAGAAAAAAAAAATCCCAAAACCCATAACATTTTCCTGATCCACAGTTAGACCTAGGTTTTTAACACAGTTACACATGCACTTTCATTGCTTCAGGTGCTGTGGACTCACAAACAGCTTCTGTAACTTGTTTGTTCGATTTGTTCTATTACTTCCTCAGAAATCTAACACCTATACAAAAACCTATCACTAATCTCACTAAAAATAAAAGGGAAACAAAAAAAATCTGACACTCCATTTTCCAGTTCTGTAGTACACTTTGCATTTACTCCAGTGTAAATGAAAACCACACCACGCATTTGTCCAAGGGTCAGCAGAAGTGAAAGATGGCTTTGGGTCTCTGAATGTGCAAGTTATTTCACACCCATGTAAGGGTTTAATGCAGCAATCTAACTGTCACATACTTCAAAAGTGTAAGAAAAGAAAAAGAAATGCGTTTTACAGACCCTTTTCCTTCAAAAGAAAAAAACCACGTCTTACAGATAGGAGTATTTTACCTGTTACTTTGCTCCTCAGAGAGGCCAAGAGCCTCTTCTGCAGCTTCTCTCCTCCTCTTCTCTTCTGACAGTGCTTCTGTCAGCTGTGAGAGCGCCTGCTGCACTGAATCATATTGTTGCTCGGTCTCTGCAAGCCTATGACAAAATGAAATCCAAAAATCAATATTTTACATACTTAAAGAATTCATTTCTTGTTCTTTTTTACGATAAAGACTTAATTTATAATGAGATGCTGTAGATCAGATCTTGAAATAAAGTCACCAGTCAGTATATATCTTTACAAAAGCAAACCACAAATACTACCAGATAATAATAATTCAAATATGAATATGATTGATTTAATCCACTGTAAATCCACTACTTTCCCTTTTCACCCAAAATGCCTTGGAGGGATAGAAAAGCATTACTTTCGCACTTACAACACAGCTGTCAGGAAAACAATATTGCTAATACATGCTCTCAGTCCTGACCTTTGTCTGAGTTTATTTAGCTCCATATTGTCTATTTCAACAATAACTGCTGATCTTTCCTGTGGTGCTCCAGGGGGAACTTCTGCTCTAGTTTCATCCTAGAAAATATTAAAAGAAAAGAAAAAAAAACAGTCACCATTTTTCTAGTTGCGAAAAATCTTTATTTCAATTAAAAAAGCCATAAGCACCACAAAGAGGTGGAACAAATCACTCTTCGTGCCATCTACTCTTTTGATTTTCAGAGCTGCAATTTTCCAAACCTGTTTTCTAACAGAAAGTTGATGAAGAATACTGCCTGTGTGTGCTGCAGGATTTGAGGGATACACATGCACTGCACAACACAGCAATTTCTGAACAATGTCTGAAGTGGAAGAAACACATCTACACATCCACACAGTAATATAGCGCTGACCACACATGCTTAAATTCAGAGCTAGTGAGCTCTAGGCAGAGTGGAAGCACTGGGAACTGTGATTAAGAAGCCTCATGCTTTGCAATCAATATGTGAAAGAGGTAGAATCCAAATGGTCTATGAGATAAGAAGTGGGGGATTAACTTATTTTTTAGTTTATAGTTCTCCTTGTTTGTGTTTATTTCTGTTTATGGAAACATAGGGGTTATTTTATGTATGTGTCCCTATGATATTTTAGAGTCTTATATTAACTGATTGTTACTGAATAATCAAGGCAGTACAGAAAAACTTTTAAAAAAATGAAGAGATTACAAAGGAATAAGCTTACAGATGTGTATACGGGGGTTTGCAAAAGGTACTGAAATGCTGAACTGGTTATATAGATCTCACTTCTGAAAAATATTACTCAAACACCTTGCAAAATGATCCATGACTGCTGTGAAATTATCACTAAACTTTGCTGATCCAACGATTAGTGATCATCCAATTATCCCTGCCAGCTCTAGACCAATTCAAGATAACACTTCAAAACAAAAAAAAAAGCAGGTACAAACAGCTTCCTTCGATGAAAAGTTAACTAAAAACATTTCCATATATTTGTTTACCTGAACAGTGCCTTGGAAAGATGTTACTTGCATGGTCTGATATTCCCTCTCCAGTCTTAAATAACGATTTTGTAAGTCGGTGTAACGAAGCTGGTTATCTCTTAGAGTCTGTGAAAGAGTCTTCAGCTGGGCAGACAAGATAGCATTCTCTTCTGCTGACTGCACAACCTGCAAGAAATTAACATTTAAATAAATAAAATTAGGAATTATCTCCTCCAGGAAGTTACTACAGATTTGAGACCTGCTGATGAAAACAACTGAGTACTCGTTTCAAAATTGCATCAACTTTTTGCAAGCTCAGAGTTTGGTAAGATTTAACTAGTTATTTTACATGCAGCAGAAATAATAAAACCTGAGTATTGATTTCCCCTGTCATCAATCTGCCCAAACCAGAAATTCAGGGTTTTAAACCCCAACGCCTTCCTCTCCATGTCTGCTATGATATCACCACCTGGCAAAACACAGTATACACAGTTGCTACTTCAGGGCAACACGTATAGCCAAATAATCCTGATAATACAAACATCTTCACCAGGCAGCTCAGGAATGCACAGCAGTCGAGTTTTTGTCTTTTCAAAAAATAGACCATAATTGGGGTCTCCACCCGTTACCCAAACACTCATCTTCACTTGTAGGAGCTTGAGATTTCTACACCTGTTTCAAATTTTGGTTAAAACTGTTATTAGGTTGCTAAAATGTTTGGGTGAAGCAGTGAAAACAGACACAGTGACAGACGGAAAGGAACATAAAACCTAATTTGCTTTGAATACCAGGCCACACAAAGAGATAAAAACTAAGGGAATTTCCAAGAACATTTACAAACTTTTGCAAACAAAACTGAACACAAACACGTGTGTGCACACAGAAACACACACTCTTACTGTCTTACCAGCCACAAAAGTTTTCATCAAGAATTTGTACAGAAACATTTTTGAGGTATTTAAAATTTGGTATGAGATAGCTAAAATCTTGTTCCAGCCAAGACAGACATCTGTTTCTGTCTATAATGAAAAACATTTTACTTAGAAGTTTAGCAGTGCCCCATCAAGGTCCTCAGAATGCAGACTCAAACCTCTTTCAGTCAAACAAGTCAGGAAAGCCTGACAGAAAGTTAATACTGACTTTAGTTTGCAATTTCTAGTCTGAGCCAAGAGGGCTGTTTTGAAGAACCTAAGGTTTAAAGCAAACTAACTTTCCATAACACAATACACTGCCAATTTAGCAATATTTCCATGTTGATACCAGCTCAGATTCACATGAGCTATTTAGGATCAGAGCTGTTGTTCTAAGTTACCTTTGAATTAATCTGCTGAAAATGCAGATCCTTCTGGTGTATCTCCTGAAGACAGCGCTGCAGTTCGTTTTGAAGCTGATTCTTCTCAGCTAAGACATGCTTGACTTCCTCTGGCACATCTGCACTTCCAGCAAGGGAGACAGTTTCTAAAACCTTAAACAGTATTTGCATATTCAGGGTCAATGGAATGTTCTCTAAATAACATACAACTCCAACACTAAATATACATATGGACTATGTAATAATTTCCTTTTCACAAGATCATTTCGTTCTCTGTTTTGTAAATACAAATTTAAAGCTGAAAATCCATTTTGGGGGAAAAAAACAACAAAAAAACCCCCAAAAAAACCAAAACCCACTCAACGTTATCACTGATATACAGCTCTGGCCTTCTTTATCTCTGACAGGTCAACATTTTGATGTTAATCTCCAATAATGGAGGGAAGTGTGCCATCTCTAATGCTTTATGGATTCTATTTTCCTACACAATCATGAAATAAAGACTTCTACCAAAAAATAGTCCATAACTCTAGGGACATTACTATTCAATAGCTTTTATTTATGATTTTAATCACAGAAAATGAACAGCATATAAGATGAAACCTGACCAACTAAAATGTTGTTTTAAATGAAATTAAAAGAAATATGCTTTACTTCCTCTGGCACAAAAAAAGGCAAATAAGAATATTATTCTAAAATTACACTCTCCTTGAGCCTTTAATGATAGTCTACAAAAGCAGACGGCATCGCCAGACCGGGTCTCAGCTGCTGCCTCTCTAAATCTAGTATTTTGTTCCTGGCAAAAGCCAACTCCAGCTGCTTCAGGGGAAGGGCAAGAACACTTCCAGTAGACACATCTCTCCCTTCTCCCCCCAGTTAGGTCCTATTCTAATATGCAGTAATTAGAGATTGATTTAAGCTCTGAAGAATGAATTTTATTAGATCTTTAAAATTCGTTAGCATCAACTATACAAATTCTGAAAACTTTTGTCAATGTAACTACCAGGTTTTGTATCTGTGACCGAACGTCCCCTATTCTGGGTTTGCAAGAAGTGAGAGTGTGGATTCTCATTTCACTTACATCCCACAATCCTGTTATAGGTTGGGGTTTTCCCCCTCTCATTTATTCCTTTCTGAATGTAAACAATGCTAGCCTTTTCTGAATTTTTTTCTTAGAAGTTTCTCTCTGTCATGCTTTCCACCTCCCTCCTTTGAAACTTCTTTCTGTATTGCAATGTAATACTTCTATGAAGCTGAGATGAAGTGTACTATAAATTACTTACACTCAAGAATTACTTTTTCTGTGCCACTTTTCCTACCATTTCTTCAACACACAAAAACTTATTTGATTTAGACTGGCTTTCCAAAAATAAGATATATGCAAGTCATCTTGTTTGTCTGTCTGTTCCCCCATTAATATTTGCATCAGCTAGCCAATTCTAAAACTGGATTTTAGAAGAAGGTTCATGTCTCAAAAAATTATGATGCTTCTATACTTAATAATCACTGAGTTTAATAATCACTGAGCTGAGGGAGACAGATCCAACTTGATATTACCTATTGAGAGAAAAATAAATAAGTAGATGACAGTTGTAGTAACAGCTGTCTGGCAGGTGATTAAGTCAGTCAGCATGCAAGGACTTGGTGACAATAAATACATTGTTGGCATCCTACAAGTAATAGTACAGCATTCTATTCTCTCTTTTTCACAAGTGTGCTATAGAAATAAGTAACACCACCGGTGTTACAATAGGGTAAGCAGTAAGAGACTCACAATAGCTATGAAATTGGCAGAAGCAGCCAGAATTATATTCCCACTTACGGACATACCATGCTTCATCTCTGCTACTGCACGAGAATAATTCCTCCTGGAGTTGCCTGAAAGTACCCTACCCTCTTTTTGATTTGAAAGAATTAACTAGGAAACTGTAAATTACACTGGTGGTTCTTTTTTCCCTTTCCAGTATGTGTCTCTGTTTATCAGCACCTGGTCTGCTCTGGAGCCATGTTTGAACTTTTTTTTTTTTTTTTAAACTTCTTTGTATTATATTCTGGATTTAACTAACCTAAGACAGTAACTTAGCAACTCAGCAAGGAGCAAATAACTTACAATGTAACTACAGCAAATTGTTACTCCTTTTTGACCAAGAATCAGTAGGGATTATTGGTTCGTGACCTTCACCTTTCTTCAGGAAGGTGCTTTCTGCGTCTTTAACCATCAAAATACACCACACCAGCGAATCTTCTCTGTTATTTTATCAACATATAAGAAACTCATGATTTTTCTTTGTTTAAAAGAAGCTGAGCAATTTATCACACTCCATTAAAAAGTGATTTGAATAGTTACAACTCATTTGCTTGGAACAGTTGTAACTTACTGATTTGACTGCAGGCAACACTGAAATATGGGTGATGCACTCATCAGCCTTCCCTACTTCACTATCGTGTGCTGTATAGTTCTCATTTGGGAAGTAGGCTGCAAATTTAATATAGTAAACTGATGGAAGTAGATTCGTGGCTCCTACTACAATTCATTTGTTTACCTTGACTGGGTAATTGCTGCCAGCAGAGACTAATTTCTTAACAACCGTGTCCTGTTGCAGCTTCTGTAGTTCTGCAATCTGTCGGTCTTTCTCAGCAGCCATGATTTGACATTGATTTCGCAGTGCCTGGGACTCTGACAGGAGGAGGTTGTTTTCCATTCTGAACATAAAATATTACACTAGACGTTAAATGATAATATACTACACACTAGTGAATGAAAAGGATAAAGCTGTACTCACTGTTATTTCTGAAATAAATAATGGTATTTTTTGAAGTTATATGCAAATATGGAGCACTATATGAACACTCTCAATATATACTTCAGTTCAAACACATCTGCTAAAAAAAAAAACCAGAAAATAAAGCCTGGAAAGTGATAACATCACATTTGCAGCAAAAAGAGAGAAGTTCATTGGCTGTAAAGATACTAACATCTGTTAACGCAATAAATACTTCAGCTACCTAAAGAATAAGGTTGTGCAGCAAAGCAACTCTAGGTCACCCTTGTGTAGAACGTGTCTGAAGATAGCCAGTCTACCCTCCTGCAAGTACACAAGTTTGAAAAGGAACACCCCAGACTCGGAAGACTGAAATAAACAAACACGCCACGTCTCTAGGAACTGCTGTCATACACAGGCTACATCACAAAGCGCATAAAAGTAATTTAAATCCTTTTGAATTCAATTTAATATATGCTTTTAAAGTTTGGGGGGGAAAAATGGAAAAAGACTATTCATGCTGTTCATTAGTTAAGTCTGCAAGTTAGAATGAGGTTTGAGTATTTCATGCTAACTTGCTCACATTTGCAAAGATAAATGTGGGGCTGGCCTTTCGATCTACAGCCCCTCCCGCAAGAGCTTCCAGCATAAAACAGGTATTATCTTATACCACTTCATTTAGAGAGCTAGAAATTGCACTACAGCAATAAAATGCAGCAAGGCACTAGGATACTGTCTACTGGCTTCAAATTCAAACAAAATTATCTTCACGGAACTGATCGTAACATGCTTTTGCACTTCAATCATCTGAGCAAGTTTAAAAGCTTGAACGAGAACAGCAGTCTAAGATGACCAAATCCCATACTGTCTCCACTGAGTGCCACTTAAAAATGCCTACTGCCTTCTTTGAAACAGACCTTGCGAGGGATTCACAGAATTAGGCCCAAGGTGTCACACTATTCGCCACAGATGATGCAAGACATGAATAGAGCTGAAGCGGACTTGAATCTACAAAAATAATGCTCAAATGTGACATTAAGTTAATTTTCAATATGTAGTTGGGCCAAATACGCAACACCTCAGACATCTTTTTAAAAAAAGAGATTTGGGGGGAAATATTCAGCCACATCAATCGTTACTCTAAGAAGAGAATATTATACCATACACTGAATTAAGATTCTTCACCTGTAATTCCATATATCCAAGTCACCAACAGAACAGGAAACATTCAATTAAGACTGTTTGAAGCTTTACATAAATAAAGAGACTATAACATAAAGATACAAGGACAGCCATGAACAAAGACAACCCTGTGGAAGTTGATTTTGCACATTACAGAAATATTCTTAACCTACTTCCTACTAAACTATCCATAATTTTGGTTTTGTGTCATTTTTATGTCAGGTTGTGAAGTCACTGAAGAATTCTAAACGAGAGCCACATGTACTATTTATTTTAACATTTATACCTTAATCCAGCAAGCTCATTCTGGTATGATGCAATCTCTCTCTCAGTTTCTGCTTGGAAGGCTTTTGTCTGATTCAATGCCTTCTCCAAATCATCAACCTTGGTCTTCAGTTTCAATATTTCAACAGCTGCAAGGCTGGCTCCTTCTTTAGCCTACGTTTAATAAACATGATTAGTGAACTGGAATGAAAACTGCATGACTGATATTTTATTAGTGCAAGAATTCTAATTACAGAATATGCTTTTCCCCCATTTGCTCCTGTTTAACGGGATAATTACCTAAGCACGCCTTTTCTAGTCACACAATGTTTTCTTAGCACTCACATAATTTACAAAGTTAAACTTCAGAATCCATAATGTCTTTATGCATCCTCTGCATAAAAAAAAAAAATTACAAAGTGAAGTAGCTAATTAAAACTTACCGATCCTTCCCTATTGTTCTGAGGTGTATTCAAATTACTTTTAAAAGAATTTATGTCATTGATGCTGTTGCAACCAATGGGAAAAGAAGCTGTGCCCTGTTTTGTTTCAGAAGTTACCTTCTGATTGCTGAGTTCCTGCAGCAATTTGTCTCGGTCATCCTGAAGACTGGCCATAGCCTTGGAAAACGCTTCAATCTGGTGAACATAATTCCCACACTCAGATGAGAGCCTGCTAATCTCCATCTCACGACTAACTAACGTCCTACAGAGATTTTCAATTTCATCAGCAATCTGATCAAGTGTAACCTTATCTGCAGCATCACATATAACCCGATTCAGAAGAGAATTTTCTTTAAGTATACTGATAAGATGTACTTTAAAGCCATCCAATTCAGCTTCAAGTTCATCTCCTTTCTTTTTTTCAGTCTTGAGTTCAGATGTGTATTTGCTCTGAAGTACCTTTAAGTCTTCTATTATCCTATCTCTATCATTTTGCAGAGCGGTCATTGCTTTCCCAAAGGCCTCATTTTGGGACCTCAGCTCACTATTTTGAGACTGAACTTCTAATATCCTCTTCTCTGCAAAAGCATCAGGTTCATCTCCATGTTCAAGTGTCAAAAGAGTCTTACTGTACTCCTCATCTGCATCCTTAGTATTTCTGCCTCTTGATTTCTGGAGTTCTTGAATCTTCTTCTGAAGATTTTCTCCATACTGTCCATTGGATACAGAGTCTTTTTTCTGCACACTATCACTAGTTAGCAGTTTCTCTCCAGATTCAGACACAAGTTTCTCTTTGTTTAATGATGCAATTAAAGATTCTAAATCATTTACTTTAGACACCAATTTTTTATTTTCATGTTCCAAAGATACAGCAGTATCTTTCTGCAGTTGATTGGAAAGTTGCATTTCTTTCATTTGTTTTTGAAGATCGTATTTTTCTTGTTCAAGGCTTTTAATGCAATCCAGTTTCTGCTTAAGTAAGTCTTTCAGCTGATGGTCTTTCAGAGATAAAACTTGGTTAAGATCTTCCCTATACTTTATCAGCTGTGCACTTAGCATTGCATTTTCAGAATGAAGATCATCTATCTGATTGAGAAGTTTCCTTAATTCTTGTTTCAAAGCATTATTCTCACTTGCATTGCCAACTATAAGACTGTCCCGCTGATTTAAGACATCTTGGTGAAGATGTTCCAGCTCTTTGTATTTAGAAAAAAGATCATCCCGATCATTCTGAAGAGATGACATTGATTTTTTAAAGGCATCTATTTCACTAGCAATTGCAGCCTTATCTTGACCTGCTTTGTCTGCCTTCATCTTGAGATTTCTCAATTCATTTTCCATCCTCTGACAGGACTCCTCAGATTGCTGTCTTTCTACCTGCAAAGACCTTAACTGAAGTTCATATTCTTTGATTTGTTTCCTATGTTGAGTCTGTATCTGAATCAGATAGTCAGAAATTTCATCACCTTTTGAAGAAATGAGTAAGGAAATTTCTTTGTCTTTATTATTTAGCATGATCTTCATTTGCTCAGAAATGGTAATCTGCTTTTGCAATTCAGCATTAATCTTTTCCTTCTCAGCTAGAAGCTGTTGCAATTCTTGTTCCTGTCTTGTAAAACTACTTTCCAGAGCTTTTATCTCTCTTCCTGCACTTTTACTATTCTCTATGAGATGATTAAGGGAATTATTTTCTCTAAGAAGTGCCTGCAAAGCTTCTTCTTTTGACTGAAGAACACTCTCCAATTCTTGCTGCCTGTTAAAAAAAAACGTATTTTCTTCTTTTATTCTGCAGAGCTCTTCATAGCGTTGTGTATCAACAGATTTTTGCCTCAAGTACAGTTCATCCTTTGTTTCCTCTACCACAGAATATTTGATATTCAATTCTTGAATCTGAGTCACTTTGTCTTTCAATTCATCTTGTAAAGACATTATTCTTTTATTACGGTCTTCTATCTGTTTCTCTTTATTTTGGATGGCCTCTTTGAACTGCATTTCCCAGGTTTTCATTTCAGTGATTACCCTGTCCCGGTCATCCTGAAGAGAGGACATACACTTCGTAAAAGCAGCTAATCGTGCCAAAGCAGCATTCAAATCTGCTTGAAGCTTCTTGTTTTGAGAGTCCTTAATGCCAACTTCCTCTTGCAAACCATGGATCTCACTAATTGCCCTATCCTTTTCTCTCTGAAGGGCACCATGTCTTTCCTCTAGTTTCAAAAATTCTCTTTTGTGAACTGATTTTAATTGTTGAAGATTAAATTCCAATTCTCTCTCATATTCTCTCTTTTGAATTTGTAGTTCGTCTTCTTTCTTCTTAAGTTCTTTTTTCCAATTTAGATTCTCATCTGTAAGCCTGTCCACTTCATTCTTTGACTGATCCAACAAGTTCATCTGTGAAGAAAGCTCTCCCTTGAGATTATATATTTCTTCATTTGACTTCGCAAGCTTTTCTGACGTATTACTTAAGTCCTTTTCAAATTTTTCACTTTTTGACTGTGACAGTTTCACAGATCTTTCCAAATCCAGGATCAGCTCCTGGAACTTTATAGAATCCTTTTGCAAATGGTTGATCTCCTGCTGTTTCTCCTTTAAAAGCTCTTGCAATTCTTTTGTTTTGTTTTTACTTCCATTGTTATCCCTCTGAGCACTTTTCACCTTCTCCTCAAACACTTTTACAAGGTGTAACTGCTGTTGTTCTTTTTCTCTAATCATATTACATTTTTCTGCCTTTAATTCCTCCAGTTGCTGTAACAGCAAGTTATTCTGCACCTGTGCTGATTTCATTCTATCAGTAAGATGATCAACTTTTTTAACATGATTAAGCAATTCTGTCTCAAGAAATTCTCTCTCATTCTTTACTTTGTAAGAACTTTCTTGTACGTTTTCTAATTCTTCCTGTAACAGACATTTATCATCCTCTAAAATCTTAACTTTTTCATTTAGACTAACAATTTCTTGTGTAAGACTTTTACATTCCACATCCAGCTTTGTTAGACAATGATTTTTATGGTCCAAAGATTTTTCAGTTTCTTTTGCTTTTTCTGAAATTAATTTTCTTTCCTGTTCTAGGACAAGCACATCTTGCTCTTTTTCAGAGAGTTTATCCTTTAACGCATTAATGTCCTTTAACATTGATTCATTCTCATATAATGCATCACTGATTTTAGATTGCATATCATTTTGGTACACTTCCATTTGAACTTGGAGCTCCCCCAAAGCTGCTTTAGTTACAGTGATGTTATTATGAAGGATTTCGTTTTCATTCTGAATTTTCTCTAAAGCCTGCTTTAAATTTTCAGAAGTTTGTTTCAACTGCTCATTTTCCTCCATTAGCTGATGATTCTGATCAGTGAGTTCACAAAGACGATCCTGGTGTTCTTGCATCCTTGCCTCTTGCTCACGGATCTGCCTTTCTGCTTTACTTTGTAATTCATCAACTTCCATTTTCTTGGATTCACTGAGTTGTTTCAGTTGATTCTTAATAACCTCATTTTCATCAATGAGGTTTTGTAAACGCTTCTCAAGATCCTCCTTCTCAGATTCTCCTTCCCTGAGTCTTTGAATAGCCTCTTGCTTCTCTTTTCTAGCGAGATCAATAACTTGCCTCATATCTGCTATTTTACTACTGATATTCTCATAAGCCTGAAGAAGTGATTCATACTCCTGCTTTAATTCACTATGCTTAGCCTTCCATCCTGTTAATTCAACTGTCTGAGAATCTTTTAAGGTATTTAGTTGGAAAGAAAAGGCCTCTTTTTCCTGAACTATAGTCTCCATGGTGGATTTAAGACTTTCACATGCTGCGGTGAGGTTTTCATTTTCAGTCAACAGTCTAGCATTTTCAGAAACAAGGCTCTCCTCTTCAGACAATGGAGAAACTGTACTTGAACTTTGTTTTTCTCTACCAAGCTCTAACAAGTGTTCAAGCATACCTGTCTTGTTCATCAGTTCTTCTCTTTCCAACATCAGCTTATCAATCTGGTCTTTTAGACATTTATTTTCTCTCAGGGCTTCTTTACGTGATATTAAAGCCGCTTGTAATTTTCTTTGAAGGCGCTCTCTGGATTTCTCTTCTGCTATAGTTCTTTGCTCTTGTGGTTTAGAATCATTTACATTTGCAGCTTTTGCCAGGGGCTCTTGTTTCTGGATTTGGTATTCTGTTGCTTCTCTCAGTTTGGTTTTCCCAGAGTACTCAGTCTCTGCTAGTTGAAAACAGGTACCTTTACCTTGTAACTTCCCTTGAAGGGAATTACTTTCCACACAAAACTCCCCCAATTCCTTTTCAGTGACATTTTCTTCCTTAAGCTCTTTGCACGACACCACAGGTCTACTCATCTCAGCCTTCTCACGCAGCATACATATCTCTGTCAGAAGTTTTTTGTTTTCTTCACTGAAATGTTTTACCTCCTTTTTCATATTAATTAATTCCAAATTGGACTTTTCTAAACAACTGAGAAGTTTCTCTTTCTCACTCTTCATTTCTTCAAATGCTGCTTTGTAATGGTGGGTTTCGTCTTGGCCCTCCTTTATAGCTTTGTTTAATAATTCCTTTTCCAAATTAAACTTCTCTTTGAAATCCATAAATGAACAACGCAATGCTTCTATCTCCTCGTTCTTTTCTGCAACCTCCTCCTTAGCTTCAATTCTCAACCTCTGCAGTTTCTCCTGGCTCACCTTGTAATCCTCTTCACTTTTTTTAATAAGGGCTTCTTTCTCATTATTCACATGTTCAAGCGCTGTCTTAATGTTTATAGCTTCAGCCTTATATGCTTCCAGCTTTTTCTGTAGCTGCTTTATGTCCTCCAACAAGCTGCCCTTACACTGCTCCTGCTGTCTCAAGTTTAAGTTGACCGTTTCTTCTCTTTCGTCACCAAATTCAACAGCTATTTTTCTCAACTCTTTCTTTAACATTTCTGTTTCCTCTTGAAGTTTTGCATAACTACTTCTTAGTTCTTTTAATTCAGCATCTTTACTTGCCACTGAAGTGATCATGTTTTCTGACTCTTTTAAGGACGCAACCTGAACCTTGCTTCTTGGTTTGTCCGATTCCAAATTCCTTAGGTCATCTGCTGCTTCTCCCAGCACTGCCTTAGGTGAA